CTCAAGCGAGGGCGCCGGTTTGGGATTCGTCACCGGATCCAGCGGATCCGTCCGGAAACGGTGCCGGAGGCCGCTCTGGGCTCCTCACCGGATGGGCGGATCCTCCGGTGCCCGCCGGGCCGGTTTTGCGAGGATGTCCCCAGAGGTCCAAAAGGACAGTTTTTTAGTCCCCTTATGTATGTTCCTATTTATAGTCCCGCGGTCTTGTTTCTAGTCCCCTATCATGCAACATCATACATCATCACATAAACATGCATCAAATACAAAAATGCCACGCACAAGCGCCAAAAAGGCTGATGATGATGATATGGAGATATGTAAACCAGATGATGAAAACAAAAACGCCCAAAAGGCAGTATGATGATGATGATGATGATGATGATGATGATGATGATGATGATGATGATGATGATGATGATGATGATGATGATGATGATGGATGAGGTGGAGGGGGAGAAGGAGGAGGAGGCGTTGGCACCCTCGCTGTTTATTACTCAATAGTTGATTTTTGTTCCTCACATCCCAGCTCTAGATTATGCTGCTCTCCCTTCTCGAGCGGCTGCTCCTGCTGTTCTCCTTTTCCTTCCCCTAGCCATTTTGGCTTCATGGCGCCCAAGCGCAAGGTTGGGGCCGCGCGCCAGCCAAGCGAGGCTGACGCCACCACACTGAGCCACGTGTGGTCGCACTTCATCGAGGAGCCCGACACGCCCGAGCCTTAAGACCCAGAGGAGGAGCCAGAGGAGGAGTCAGAGGAGCCAGTGGAGGAGCCTTAGGAGCAGGAGCAGGAAGGAGCCAGAGGAGCAGGAGCCAGAGGAGGAGCGTGAGCCAGAGGAGCAGGAGCAGGAGCCTCTGATCGGAGGCACAGCCTCCGATCTGTCCTCCTCTGGATCCTGCGCCTCCTCAACACCCTCGCCCTTTTCATCCTCATTCGCCTCCCTCTTCGCGCATTTCCTCTTCGTTGCGCCTCGTATCCGTACTACCTAAACCTCCTCCTCTATCCTCGACTGCGTCCCATCCGTGTGGTATTGCTGTGTGTTCCTCCTTTTTCCTCCACCGTCCCTCCGCTCCCCTTCATAGCCAAGGTTGACGTACGCGACCGACCTTGACGCCGCGCGCGACGAGGACACGCTGTCAAAGTTCCAGAAGCTGATCATTGAGACGAGGGCGGCTGCCTTCGTCGGTGGCGTCCCTCAGAAGACGGCGAAGGCCGAGATCGCGAGGAGGGGGAGGAGGAGGAGGGGGAGGGGGAGGAGGAGGAGGAGGAGGAGGAGGAATAGGAGGGGGAGGAGGAGGAGGAGGAGAAGGAGGATCGAGAAGGTGAAGGAGGAGGACAAGGGCAAGGAGGAAGAGAGGGGAGGGGGAGGAGGGGCTCGCGGAGTGGAAGGGAGGAGGAGGAGGAGGAAAAGAAGGAGGAGGAGGAGAGGAAGAGGAGGACGAGGAGGAGGATAATGATGAGGAGGAGGCGGAGGAGGAGGATGAGGATGATGAGGAAGATGACGAGGACTAGGGGGAGGAGGGGGAGAGGAGAGGGAGGAGGGGAATAGCGTGCCGCCCCAAGGCGGCGCTGCTTATCGTGGCGAACGCGAAGGAAGAGATATGGAAACTTTCCAAGGAGAACAAATCGTGGGCTGACGACCGCGCGCGCGTGATGCGGGCCATGCTGCGGCACGTCGCCAAGGCTTTATCGAGGACGCAGCCCCTCCTCCTCCTGCGCATCATTCTCGACTCGTTCTCATTCTCCTGATCCTCCTCCTCCTTCGTCGTCGTCGTCATCCTCGTCCTCCTCCTCCTCCTCGTCATCCTCCTCCTCCTCCTCTTTCTCCCTCTCCTTCTCATCCTCGCCCTCCTTGGTTTCACTTCGCCCTCCTCATCCTTCTCGCCCATGCTCTCTTCGACGTCGTCATCCGAACTCTGCTCCTCGGAGCTTCCCCCCAACGTCCTCATCATCAAACTTCTTCCTCCTCCTCCTCCTCCGTCTGGTCCTCCTCATCCTCCTCCTACTATTTTGATCACCGTCAGAGGAAGCAAGTCCCTGCTTGGGCCGTGAAATTCCAGCCCGCGGCCGGCGACGACAGCAAGCCAGCGGCCAGCGACGGCAGCAAGCCAGCGGCCTACGACGACAGCAAGCCAGCGGAGGTCGACGACAGCAAGCCAGCGGAGGTCGACGACAGCAAGCCAGCGGAGAGCGCGAAGAAGCTCGTCAGGGCCAAGGCCAGGGTGGGAGCGGAATGAGGAGGAGGAGGAACGATGAGGAGGAGGAGGAGGATGAGGAGGAGGATAAGGGGGAGGAGGGGCAGCAGCAGCATCAGTAGCAGCAGCAGGAGAAAAAAGGGGGGAGCAGGACAGGGGGAGGCGGCTGAGGAGGATGAGGAGGAAGGATGGGATAAAGAGAGGGGGGAGGAGGGACGAGGCAGAGGGACGAGGAGGAAGGAGGATGGGGAGGAGGGCTGAACGAGCACGGGAGAAACGGGGTGGAGTGAATGGTATTTGGGTGATCGGGATGGGCAAGGGAGGAGGGGCGGGAACGGGGGGGCGGGGGGGTGGTTTGGGGTCGGGAGGGAAGCACAGGGAAGCGAAGAGCGGAAAGGGGCGCGAAGACCAGGCCTCGACCTTCACGAACGAGGAGATGGTCACGGAGCGCGGCTATAGACTGGGCTACGAGAAAGAAATGCAGGTCAGCCCATCGTCGAAACAGGAGAACGAGGAGGAGTGGAGAGGGAGGATGGGGAGGAGAAGGAAGAAGTGGAGGGTGGTGGCTCCTTATCCTCGAACCCCTCGTCGGCTTCCTCCTGGACGTCGGCCTCGCTATCGTCGTCCTCCTCCTACTCCTCCTTCTCCTCCTCCTCCTCCTCCTCCTCCTCCTCCTTCTCACCCTCCTCCTCCTAATACTCCTCCCCCTCCTCGGGGGGAGGAGGATGAGCCAGCCTCTTGACCTCTCCACGCTTTGGGCCCCCAGTCCGCTTGGCGCATCCCCATCAACGCCAGCCAGTTCCCAGAGTACGCAGTGGCTCGCCCTCGCGAGGGCAGCAAGATGCTCGTTGCCGTCTGGGCCGACAAGTTTGAGTGGGAGGTGCCTCCTCCTCCCTCCTCCCCCTCATCTCTTGATTAATTAAATGTCCCTCCTCCTCCCTCCTCCTCCTCCTCCTTCCCCCTCCTCCTCCCTCCGTCCACTCCGTGCTTCCCGTGCGTCCTCCTCCCACCGCCAACTCCTGTGCCTGCTCCTCCATCCTCCGTCTCTCTCCTGCGCATCATTCTCCCTCCATCAATTCCGTGCCTCCCATCATTCTCTATAATAGCTTTCAGTTGCCCTGTAGGTGCCTGGCACGTCGGCGAATGACACCGACAGGCCAGACGGTGCGCCCAAGCACACCAAGGGGAACAACGTCTTCTGGCGCGGCACCCACCGCGAGACGGGCAACGAGGTGTTGGGGCGCTGGGTCATCAAGACTGGCAAGTCGTGGCTGCAGATCTGGTGCGAGAACATGCAGTTCATGCAGATGATGGGGTATACAAACGAGGAGGGTGCCAAACAATTTGTGATTCAGTGCTGCAAGGCGTTCGCTGCTGGCGAGAAGGACAAAACCCAGTGCGAGGACATGGAGCGAGAGTTTCTGGCTACTGACAAGAAGACGGCGAGGGTGAAGAGACCCGCGGCGGCGGCCGACAAGCGACCAGCGGTTGCCGAGCCCGAGGGCGCCGACGCGGATCCGAATGAGAAGAAGGATGACGCTGATTCAGAGAGTGGCCAAGTGAGCAGCGCCGCCTCGGATTCAGAGTCTGTTTCGAAGAAGGCGAAGGTGTGCAAGCCTTCGCCCGATTCCAAGCTTGAGCCTGCGGCAACCAAGGCCTTGCTTTCAATGTCACCGCGCAAGGGCGCGGTGACTCCCGAGCCGCTGGCCAAGCGTTCACCGCCGCCTGCGTCTGCGCTCGTGGTGCCGCCTGCGCCCGCGGTGCCGCCTGCGCCCGTGGTGCCGCCTGCGCCCGTGGCGCCGCCGATGTCGCCGATTGATGACGACTTCTGATGCTGGCAATTTTTGTGCCAGTCTTCGTGCCGTATTTTGCAGTCTTCTGTTGAAGAGCCTAGATGAAGTTGGCTGAACATCCCAGGTCGAGTTTCAGGTCAAGCACAAGGTTTCGTGCTAGCTGTATTTCGTGCCAAGTTCCAACTTCATGCAACCAGTGCAAGGTTCTTCAGCAGATTTTTTATCGCCGCCAGCTGTCTGAGGCCATGGGGCCACGCATAGTTTTTCTGGTATTTCCAGTGAATGTATGCTGATTTGTGCGAGGGTACCGCACGAGCGGAGCTTCAGTATTGCCTGGTGGCAACGACGTTCTAACCGCGTTGTCTGAAACACTTGAAGTCAAACTGAGTGGAGCACGGCATAATATCTGCAACTGCGGGGCTTAGGTCAAATACAAAGCCCAAGACGCCTCCAATTAAGAGGACTTTCAGGAAGGCCCGCCGAGGCCAAACATCATTGATGCCACGTAGGTGTTCTAAGGATGTTGGGGTGCCCTCCTTTTCGGCCTTCCGACGGCCCAAGAGGCCATCAATATGGCCATATCGAAATGTCGAAGTCATACACATTGCACGTGCAATCAATGGGGCTTGTGATAAACAAAAACTGCTGACTGCGGGGTCTTACGTTTGCCAAATACGTTACGGGTCAAACAAACATCACTCCTCCACATTGTCCTCCCCTCCTCCACACCCCGTCCACTCACCCTCCCCTCCCCTCATCCCTCCTCCTCCCCTTCATCCTTCTGCTCCTCCTCCCCCTCCTCCTATGCGTGGTTTGCAATCTTCCACGCTGGGATCTGGTCGAAACGCTCTTGGGGGCATCGGGGCGCAGTGTAGGGGTCTCTTGGGGGCATCTTGGGGGCTTGTCGAGCCCGACATCCATGCATTCCGTCCGAACCGTTTTGGCTCAACAATCTTAATGACTTGAGGTGGAACTGCATCAGTCTGCTACTGATCCGCTCGGGGCCACGTCTCGCCCATGTCCGACGGCGCCGCCCAGGGCGCCGCCCAGGGCGCCGCCGAGGGCGCGCGCTTGCAGACCAGTGATACGTGGGCCACGTGGGGCGAGGATCTGGACGTGGAGATTGTGCCAGCTGCAGGGTCAGACGGAGGAGACGCGCAGCCTGATCGGCAGCCCAACTACGGCGAGCCAGGATGGCGCTCGCCGTCTCAGGCAGGCGCGCAAACAGTCGCAGATGAGGAGTCGCCGCGCGACATCCCAGCAGAGCAGCCGAACCACGCGAGCCAGGCTGATGCGCCAGTCGGGGCCCAAGTTGCGGCGCCAGCGGCGGCGGCGCCGCCCTCTTCCTGTGAGGCGCCGCCCCCCGCTGGCGAGGCACCGCCTGGCGCCGTCGCAGGGCCGTCCCAGGAGATGCTGCCCCCAGCGGAGGCAGCGAACGTCCCGCCATCGCTGATGTCGCTGATCAAGTCGCTACAGGACCAGGTGCTCGAGCAGGCGGAGCAGAACAAGATGCTCAATCTGAAGCTCAGGGCGGCCGAGGCGGCCAAGGCACTCAATATCAACCCGTATATGCATCCACCAGTGCCGACCGAGGAGCAACCAGCGCAGAGGCAGCAACCAGATGGAGGGCAGCAACCAGAGCAGGGGCATGTCATCGACGTCGAGGAGTCACTGCCCAGCAGTGGGGATGGAGACGAGGAGATGACGCAGGCGCTGAAGGAGTCGGAGGAGGCCGCCCGTATTGCCAAGGAAAAGGAGGACGAGGGCAACCAGCAGTTGGAGGAGGCGATGCAGAGATCGAGGGAGGAGGCCCAGCGACGCGGCACCAGCGTCAGTCCCGAGAGGGCCCCGAACTCGCCAGGCAAGGCGAGCACTTGGCAGGGCCAGCAAGCGGCTAGCGGTCAGCCTGTGCCGACAGAGATGCCTGTGCCGACAGCGCAGCCTGCCTCGGCAGCGCAGCCTGTGCCGACAGCGCTGCCTGTGCCGACAGCGCAGCCTGTGCCGACAGTGCTGGCTCCTGCAGGAGGCGCGGCCGCGCAGGCTGGGGTAGCCAAACGACAAGCGACCGCCAACTGCTTTCTTGTGTATTGGGCTCCAGTCGTCTCCTCTTGCGAGGAAACGCATTGGAGCTTAAGGGGGCTCACTGGGGCTCATCGCGAGCTCATCGCGAACGGTGAGCCCCAGTGAGCTTCAATCCTGCGCTAGGCACACTTGGGGACACCGCCGAAGAGCAAGCGCCGCCGCATGCTCACCGACGTCATCCTGAGCTCCGAGGTGAACTTCCAGAGCATCCTCAAGAAGGCAGAGAAGCCCGAGCTCCTGGGCGTCGAGCTGCGCGACCATCTTATGGCCATCTTCCAGGGCAAGCACGTCAAAGAGCTGCACAGCATGAAGGGCATAACGCCTCAAAGCATGCTTCCCGAGGCAGTAGCGGGTGCAGAGAACGCGTTGGGCGAAGTTCAGGGCCCTGACGAGGGCGGCGTCGACCCTGCGAGCCTCGAGGAGAAGCAGAAGAAGGAGTACGCTGTATGGCAGGCAGCGAGGGCCAAGGACTTCAGGTTCGCGGCGAACGGCAAGGAGGACAATGTCCTGGCGGGCAGGTTCGATCGCTACAAGAGCAGTCACCCAGACTGTGAGAAGGCTTAGGAAGCGCTCAGGATCGACGGGAGACCCGACATCCAAGCCCAGGAAGACTTCAGGAGGGAGTGGGCGATGAAAAAGTTCGAGAACTACAAGTTGGGGACGAGGAAAGTTACGGCATACAAACGAACACATTGGCGCAGAGGCCAATATCAGACACTCGGCCGCACCGCCAAGAAGGAGGGCGGAGGACGATTGGGCTGGTTGCAGGCGCGGGGGCTCCAGAACGACGACGGCGACGAATACGACGACGACGGACGACGATGGTCGATGCCCCGCAAACGACGTTCGACGGAGACGTCACTTTCAGCGATGACGACTGCGATGACGACGAAGACGACGACGGCAAAGACGACGCCGAGAGGCAAACAAACACACCCCTACCCCCAGTGCCCTCAGTGCCCTCATTATCCTCCTCCCCTCCTCCTCCACCTCCTCCGAATCCTCCTTCGCATTCTCTTCGCCTCTCCTCCTTATCCTCCGCGTCCTGCCTCCTCCTCCTCCCTCCTCCGCCCTCTCCTCTTCCTTCATCCCCTCCTCCAGCTCCGTCCTCCATCATTCCTCCTGAGGGGGGTCAGGTGGACTCCCACCGCCTGATGTTGCGTTTGCAGCCCCTTCAGGCATTTCGGTACTTCTTGAAGGCCATTCAGTTGGGGGCGCCTTGGGTTGTGTACTGCCCGTCTCGCGAGGCGCTCCGCGCTTTGTATGTGGGGGAGGGAGTGGACAGCGAGTTCAGCGTCGCGTGGTCCAAGCACCAGGCATGGGCGGACGACGCGATCGAAAGCAACGAGATGAAGAGAAGGCGCTTGGAGCAGGCATTCGGTAAATGAACATCATTTGCAAAACGCATGGAGCAACCTGCCTTAGGATTGGAAATCCTGTTTTGTTTCGGGGCTGCAGTCAGCTTTCCGATGTTCTGCTTAGGAACTCTGCGGCGAGAATTGCTCGCAAAAAAAATCGCTCCCCAGCCCGCATGCGGGCTATAGGTGGGTGTAGCGGATGTGAAAACACACAGTCGTAAACACACGCATGCACATATGGATGCACGTGCATGACATTTGTGCAGACATACTTATAACACGTTATCTGTTGTTTGGTTTTCAGCCTCCAGGGGGCGGGCCAGCTGGCCGACTCGACCCAGGCGCTGGCGACGGTCGCCCCCCAGGCGCTGGCGACGGTCGCCCCCCAGGCACCAGCGACGGTCGCCCCCCAGGCACTGGCGACGGGCGAGCCCAGCAACCAGGACAAGACGAGGATCCTCATCGGTAAGGTCGCGGACTCTGCTGGCGTGACCTCGAAGGCCGAGATCCAGGAGACAGGCGGCGAGGGCGTTCCAGGCGCGGAGCGCGCTGAGGAGACGGGCACTGAGACGGGCAAAAAGAAGAGCAAGGGAGAGGGCAAGGGCAAGAAGCAGGGCAAGAAACGAAAGCAGGATACCACCGAAGGCAACCCTAAGGAGCAGAAAACCGAGTCCCCTGGCGGCGACTGTATCAAGGCCCTCATGACGCAGGCAAAGCAGACCGTGCTGCTGCACAACACCGTGGTCAGCCATGCCCAGACCTTGGCGTATAACATCGAGAATGATCCTGATTACTCCTGGGCGAAGACTGACGAGGACGGCAAGTTGTTTCTGGAGCAGCTCACGGAGGTGGGCCACACCTTGTGGACCTCAGGAGTCAGCAAAGCCTTGACTGAGCCCCTGACGAGTGTGAGGAAAACTTGTTCGGATTCGGAGTTCATCAGTTACCTCCACAAGCTGAAGGAGGTCGACCAGATTGACAAAAACCTTCAGGAGCTCACCATTAAGGTCAAGAGCCTCCACGAGATCAAAAAGCCCAAGAGGGCCGCCTGATGATTCGAGCGGGTGCATACTCATGCGTGCAACCTGTTGCTAGGTACTTTTTGTTTGCTCGGCTGTCGAAATTATTGTGTATGAAGGCAGAGCAGGAGGATGACAGGCCAGGAGGATGAGTGTTCAAAGATTTTGCGCGCCAGAGCAATCAGCCGACGTTATTTTGCTAGAAATGCTGTAGCGCTCATTAAAAAACCACAACGCAGACCGGTGAGCGACCGATGATCGGCCGGTGACTCATCGGTGCTCACTGGTTCCGATGAGCCTCCGATGATCGAGCTCAAACCCTGTAAAAGCACAGGCGAAAGGGCAGTGATCACAACCGATGAGCGACCGATGAGCGACCGATGACCGGTGAGCGACCGGTGAGCGACCGGTGAGCGACCGGTGAGCGACCGGTGAGCGATGATTTTCGCGAAAAAAAAAACAAAAACAAAAAAAAAAAAAAAAACAATGAAGTTTAGGGTCTTTGTTCGAGGGTTCAGACTGTTCTGTTGCGTCGAGAGGCCGCGGGCCAGCAGGGGAGCTTGTGCTCGTTATCTCTCAACGCCAACAGACAACAGTCGGGGTTGAGCGCTACAGCAGCTGCTGCAATCAGTGCTTCCGTCAGTGAAGGCCAGTCATTTTGAATGCAAGCAACTGGCACTTTGATGAGATAGCTGCAGTTCCTCTCTGCAGAAGTTTCACGTTCGGTTGCAGTGGTGATTGCGTGAGTCAGACTTGTAGTACAACACACGAGTCGGTAGCGCAGCGCATTTTTCTTTCTCGTGTTGTGTTTTTGTCATGTTTTTGTTGTGGGTATTGTATGTTGTGTTGACTTGTGTGCCTTTATGTTGTTCTTTCTTTGTGTGTTTTTGTGTGTCTTTCTTTTTAGTTTGTTGTGTCTGATGTGTGGTGTGTTTTCTGTGTGGACTCAACTTTGTGGCTTGTTTTTATTGTGTTTGGTTTGATGGTGTTTGTTTCTGTTGTCTGCATATTGCGATTTTTGTTTGTGTTGTATTTTTGGTGTATATTGCATTGGATTGTTTTTGTTTTTTGTGTTCTCAGTGTTGTTTTGTTGTGTTTTGTTGTTGCAGCGCTGTTGGGGTCTAGGTTGCTGGCTGCAGACAAGGAAGAGACAACGAAGCAAAACATCATACAGCACGAAGGGCGTACGCACAGCACGAAACGCGATCATGGATAGGGGTGTGCACAGCACGAAGAATGATAAACAACAAACAGAACAGCAAGCGCACAGCACGCTAACACAGCATGTCGAACAGCACATGCACACACTACACAGCATGTCAAACAGCAGACACACCTTATACATAGCCTGCGTTATCACTTCTCGGAGGCGCATGCTCAAGTTCGTACTGTCTGTGCGCGGCCACCTGCAGATCTACAGTTTGATTTGTTAACCAGATGGCGAGGTCTCGCAGCCACAGGCGGGGGGCGCCGCGCATTTTGTCTTCGCAGACTGCCAGGGATGCGGGCTCCGAGCTACTACGAAAGCTACTTGAACTCTACGCCTCGTGCAAACTTACGGCTCTCGACTTTTCCGTAATTTGTCATCTAGCCGACGTTGCTGGCGTCCCAGGGGCCAACTTCGCTCTTTACGGACTTGCTCCAGGGAAACAATCGGGCAAATACCAGGACCATTTATCGAAAGTACTACCAGTCCCCAGTGGCATGACGATGGTTCGCACGCCAGTCAACCTACATCGCAGACCTCGGCGGACGATGCGCGATGTTCCTGTGCGCTGTGTTTTCGAAGGGATCGAGGAGGAAGTCTCCGAAGACCCGCGCACCTTCAGGATTCTGAACGCAGCGCCTGGCGACAGAGACCCCTGTGTTTCAGATTTTGAGTGCTACAAGAAACATCCCCGTGTCATAGAGGCCCTTGCGAACGGGGGCCGCCTTCCAGTGCCTCTCGCATTTTACCTCGATGGAGTGACTTATAGAAAATCTGCGTCTGGGAGGAATGATTCAAGCTTGGGCATGTGGGCCGTAAATTTGATCACGGGAAAGAGGCACTTTATGTCAATCACTAGGTCCAGCGATAGCTGCCAGTGCGGGTGCAAAGGATGGTGCGCGCTGTTTCCGCATCTCCAGACCGCGGCATGGCAGTTCGAAGCAATGTCATTAGGGCGCAGGCCAGCTACTCAATCGGATGGCAGGCCGTGGGGTGCCGATCACGAGCTCGCTCGCCCGAAAGCCTTTTCGTATACAGGAGCACTGTTGTGGATCAAAGGAGACTGGAGTGAACATGCCAAGTCCCTTGGTTTAGCCCCATGGTCGGCAGTGTTTAATGCGTGCCAGTTCTGTGAGGCAAGCCAGGGCGAGATGCACTGCATGTGTGGTGCGTGCGTCCCCAACGAACCACTGCCATTCAGGATAAGAAGAGAAGCAGATTATTTCGATGAGTGCGCAAGGTGCGAGGTGCGTGTCCACATCAGAACAGAACAGCACAGAGCAGATCTGCTGAAATCAATTCGTTTTGAAAAAGGCAAGGGCATCAACGGCCGAATTATCGTGACAGACGTCATCATAAACTGAGTTAACTTGAAAAAGCGTGATCGCTTAGAGCCGTCAGTTCACTTGTGGGGCACGTTTAACCTTGAGAAGCAGACGTTGCCATTCGAGATTGTATTTTGGCGTCCTTCCATGAGCAGTGACAACAAAGTCATGGATGCAATGCGGCATCGTTGCCCGTTGTTTTCGCGAGCTCTAGGGACGTCGCCGACGGCAAGCCTCGCCATAGACTCTTTGCATTGCCTGTATTACGGGCCAATCATGAGGTGGGTGAGCGCAGCTATATGGAGGTTGATCCTTGTGAATCCGTTCGGCTTTAGTGGGGGGCTTGAGGAAGTTTTGGACCTTGGTTGCAAGCGGATTTTAGCCGACCTACTTGTTTGGCAAGACCAACACGACGTGCCCCACCAGATCAGGCTCACAACGCTCAACCTCAAGATGCTAGGGAAGCGTAAAGGTTTCACATTGCAGGACAGCGCTTTTTTCCTTGTGCCAACATATGCACGATCACCGCACTGGGGTACACGGGGAGGGGTCAAGGTAGCCAGGGCGCACGATGAGTTAGTAGGGGTGCAATGATGTTTGCGTTTGTAA